ACCTCTGCTCCCGTATCCTCCTGACTCGCTCAGCTCGTTCCAGTTTTTTCTGCTCCTCAAGTGCTTTTTGCTCTGTAGTGTCTCTCTGGATGCGCTCATTTAAGGCATCAAAATCTTTTGCTATGATATGGAGAAGCCAAAATAATCCCTTTTTGATTGATTTATCAATTTTTTTCCCACAGCCCATGATTGCTGAGCAAGGTTCCTATAAATATATGGAGAAGGAAGGAAAAATCTGCAGTTAAGACCACATTCCTTGACTGGAAACAAGAAATTAGTTGAACAATTACTGTTGACTGTGAAGCTTGTAAAACACTGGGAATTATGGGTTATAAAGTCCATGCTAGATTTATTAATCAAAATGAAAAAATCTGAGATGAAAGAGAATCAGCTTTGCTTCAGTTCATGAAAGAAAGTTCAACATGTTCATAAGCAGCTCAGGGGTAAATAAAATCTCCTGTGAATTTGTCAGAAAAGCTGTCAAAGCTATTTTATACAACTGAACAGGCACTGCACCTTGAGTGGAGTAAAACCTTTTGTAATTATACTCTCAGCAGTGAGAGAAACATGATCCAGGCAAATCTGTTGAAAGAGAAATGCAAACCTCATTGAGAAAATAGTTCTGAAAACACATCTGGTAAGAAAACATTGAAGGACCAAGAGTGCTTCTCTTGAGATTAAAGCACTTCAGGAAGATAGGATAATAGCCTTCAAAAACTTAAGGTGAAACTGCAAATAGGAAAATAATAATTTCCTCTTATTTTTTCATGTCAGGAGGACAAGTAAAATCAGCTTTAACTGGGACAAATGAGGCAGGGCTTGATTCAAGCTTGGAACGTAGAAAAGATTTCTCTCAAGATCTCCTGGGAACTGTTTTCAAAAATGTTTTGGAGCACTGTATGTATCTTTTAAAACATTCTCTGAATAACAACTGAATAGAACCAGCTCTGTGGATGACATGTAGAGATGATATTTCACATTGATTGTGTTCAGGTTGGAATTTATGACAATTAAAAGAGGCTCTCCAATGCCAACATCTGAAAAACTCTATCTGCTCTCTCCATCTGACAAGGATTTAAATGGCACAACAGTCAAGATATGGAATGTACCATTTACAACAGAAAAAAAAAAATCTGACCAGTCATGTTTAAATTAAGGTTCAAATATGAGTCCTTTTGGCACCTTGCAATACCCTCCAGCAGAACCTACCCAGGAAGGAGATATACAGAAGATGTATACAACTTGTTTGTCTGAGAAAACTGAGATCAAACACAAGCCAGCACTGGGGCAGTGTTCTTCTCAGTTTGCACCAAGATTCTTGTTGCTGAAGTTTGGTTACAAAATATGAACATTCAAGAATATGGAATATATAGACATATTAAATAAGAAAAAGAGGAAGGTCATTCTCAGTGGCACTGTCCAACAGCAAGACAAATTACTCCTTTCTTTTGCTTCAATACTTTGTGGTGAAATTTAAAGATCTAGTGGAAAACTAACTACAAGAATAAGAAGAAACAAAAGATTTTTTGGTCATTGCCTAGCTTTCTATCTTGCTTCACAATGCCTCTGTTTAAATTGACCCCAGGAGTCAATTTAGACTGAAGGAATTTGGGACCATTTTTATCTTTGAAGAGCCTGGTAAAGAAGGTGTCCATTAGAATATGAAACAGAGAGTGTGATCTAGTGTCTTTCCTAATTACACACAAAATATAAATAAAGAACAAGAGCAGCATGTCAGAAATTAAGCAATTCAGATGTATTGGAATACACTAATATCTTTCAGGTCATTTTCTGATGAATATTTTTCAAGAAAATATTTTCGGTACAGAAGCTCCTTGGAAAAAAAAACCAAGGATGAACTTGCAACTTTAATTTTTATGATTGCTATATGTGCATAGTGCAAAGTACACTAACTGAAGAAAAACACTCAGATAATCATGACATAATAAACAGAGCTATGCCCTGCTCTAACTCAGCTATTAGAGAAGACAATAGCAATATGTAGTGTTCTATAAATTTTACAAATCTCCCAAATGAATTCAAGTTATTTTTTAATTTTAAAATCCAAAGCTTAAATGGTTTTGCAAAACTGTCTTCTTATCTTGGCTAACAACACCATAATCCTCATTATCTTTCAAAATATTTTTTACTGCCATCAGAAAAAGATTGTGGAAATAAAGCGTTATCTAAGACACTGGTAGATTAAAACAGACTTAAAGAAAAACTTCAGGGACTACAATTTGGATATATTATCTGAAATGTTGACCAATATTAAGCAACTTTCATTAAGGTTTCTGGTTTTGGCTCTTCCCACAAAGACTTCCTGCTAGATTTTTTCTTAACAGGACAATGAATGCTACATCTAAATTTCAGTTTTATGGCATGTAGCATGATTTCCTACCTTAATGGAAACTTTACACAGATATGAGAAAACATTGCATCTTCAAATCTACTTACAATTTGACAGAGACACTTGTGTTCATTAACCAGCCTTTCCAGAGATAAGGACTCGATCACATCTGCTTCTGACAGAGCTCCTTCTCTGTCCTGCTTATTTGCCAGCCTAGAGGAAAAATCAAAAGAAATGCTCAGCATCCTGCCACAAGAGAGACTCTCAGATTTCCAAAAGCTGAGTTTGTGACAAAATTAGAAAGAAGAAGGGGAAGACTGAGAAAGAAAAGACGAAATTCCCTGTTTCCGCTTTAATTATTTATTCTGCTCAATAAAGCGTGTTAGTCTATGCGCCATTTTCATCAGTTGCTAATGTTAATCACAAAGGTGCTTAGTAATAAATTATTTCTAGAGAAAGCAATCATACTTACAGTTAAGGAAATAGACATAAAAGATCATCCTGCTTAACCTCTAAATCAACACAGGACAATCTGTTGGAGCCTCTGGATGAAAGTTCACAGTTTTGCAACTTCCCAAACCATTTCCCTGTTTGAAAGTGTTTCAGGATCATCTCAGCTCTGCCTGCTACCCAGCATTTCTCTCTGATGCCTAACAATGTTTTGAACTTGCTCTTCCTGAGTAAAATTTACAAGTGTAGAGGGAGGAACTTGTATGAATGGCTCTAAAACCCGTATTTTATTCAATAGAGGAAAGCAAAAAAACCCCACATAACTCACAAAATAAGTATTCTGTAAGATGAAGATCACTGTCTTGTCACTTACATGTGGCAAGAAATAGGACTCTAGAAGACAGACATTCATTTAGGAGTATAAAAATACAATCTAACCTTATTTTGCACTTTCTACAACATTAATAATTCAAGCTAAGTGCTGTACAGCATTAGAAAATAAATTTTTGAGAACTTGCTCCTCTCTAAAGCAGGAATTCCACTAAAATAATGTTCCTCTGAAATTTAGCCATTTGAATGACATAAGAACTCTGATTCAATTTTCTGGATAAGAAGTCAAATATTTGGCTTTCATGAGCTCAGAGGCAGAAGGTTTTGAAACCAGACATCATAGCCTTCTTCCTGAAATCTCAAGTCGCTCTCATGAATTCAAATGGCTTTTAGGGAACTTAGGTCAAAGCTTATACTTTGAATTTATGCTAATTCCTTGCTAGGAAGGAACAGTGGTAAGAATATACTCTGTAGTTACCAAAACTTGTCAACACTTCAGTTTGATTTAAGACCTTACTTGTCCCTATTCTCCAAAATCCCAGTATGAGAGCTTCAATTCTTAATTATTTTACTCCCAACAGATTTTTCAGCATTAAAAACATTAGAAAAAAAGCTGTGTTGCATCTACATCCCAAAACTCCACATTCCTTGTCACCATTACCTCCATGAGCTACAATTTATTATCTAATCTTTCATCTTCCTTTTCAAGAAGAATTTGTTTATGAAGGAGACCATAGAAAAGCAGCTTCTCAAATGTCCAGTCGCTCTCAGTCTTCACCATTCTTAACTATTTGTAGTCCATACGATTCACTTATTTATCATCATCCTGGAGGTAAAAATCCCTATTTCCTACTGATAATCACAACTTTACTGGCTTGGCCTGCAGAGCTGGTAAGAGCATAAAACCCTTCCCTGCCCTTCCTTGATAATGAATTCCCACTTCTTAAAGAGAGAACTTCTACAGTGCTTTGTATGATTTAGTGCAGGGATTCCCAAACTGCTGTCCAGTGCATATACAGAATATGTGATATCTTCAATATGTTTATAAATACTCTACTTCTTTTCACCAACCAGCTAGAACAAGACTCATTCTTTCAGTATTTAAATGTGAAACCAAAGCTAAACCAGGGAAAAACTGAAATGCAATGCAAAAAAGTAACTAAAAAACTGGAAAAAAATTACCTCTACTTTTTCTCCCCCACGTAACGTATTTTGTTACAGTCTGAAAATCCTACTGTGCTGCCTCTTAGTCTTTAAAAGCATTCCTCAGCAGTGCTGCCAATTCATCTATAGCTAATTGAAGGAAATATTTCTGAGCAGTGTTTGTTGCCACAGCCTGTTCCTCTCTCACTTGAAGATTAAATAACTGCACTAGTTTCACTATTTTTGCTCTGCACAGCCTACAAAGCACAGCTGAAGCAGAATGAAATGCTGGTAAGCTGCACAGCTCAGTGGCAGTTTGACACTAACATCCCGCAGCTTGCAATAGCTGCTGATTTTTAACCTCTAACACCTTGAAAGGTGTCATATTTGTCTTTCTGGTCAATTAGCTTCCACTTTCTCTGCAGCAATACTGACAAGAACATGGCTGAGGTGCTGTACCTGGAAAAGCAGCTGTCTCTGCCTATTCTCCCCAGGAACTGAAGTGGTTTTGCTGAGGTCCATCTACTGCTGGACACCCCTGCCCACTTCAGACTTTAGGTCAAACTTCTAAACGGACTTCAAGTATTTTCAAGATACTGTAGTAAAATGCATTATTCTGCGTGGGCTTTTTTATCCCCATGAACAGATCCACCTCCCCTCAATAACTGCTTTTCCCTCCATGCTTTGGTGCAGAAGAAAGCACAGCCTGCACTCACACTTGTGCTTCCACTGGCAGCTCCCAAGGGCAGCCGCTCCAAGGCACTTCCTGCTCCTGGGCACTCCGAGGGATCCGCCTCCCAGCAGGGCTGGCTTTCAAACAGGCACAACCAGATTCCCCAGGCACAAAGTAATCAATTTGCCTGTCTCCTGCAGTTGCAGAAGGCAGTTTCACTCTAGCACTCCTGAGGATGATCACACTTGGTCGACAATAGAAGAAGCAGAAGGAATGAAGGAAATACTTCATGGAATGTTACTCAAGACACGTTGCCTAGGGAATATTCTGGAAAAATGTTTTTGGGATTATACTGAAGCTTAACCTCCAGAGTTCCTGTGTAAAGAGTAAAAGCCACCAACACGGGATTCAGAGGTAAATACCCTTCTCTTACTTAACGTTTCTAAATTTGCAAATATCAGAAGGCTTTGTAGTGGGGTTTAGAATGACAATGTGCCTAAGTGTCAAGACATAAAAATAATGTATGACTGCCTTGCAAAGAGTTAGCTATTTCTGTGGGTAAATATGGACTCACAGCTCTGCTGCTGTTGCACAGGACCACCCGTCTTTGAAGCAAGTTTTAGGCAAAAAAAAAACCCTTCTTTAGGGAATACATCAGTTATCTTAAAAGACAGACCTTTATTTTAATTTTCCAAGTCCGTTGAACTTCATATATAGCAATTTTTCATGTTTAAAAACCTGTAGGAGGTATATATCGAAGCATACTTAAAAGCACAGCAGAGTGGCTGTTAGTTTATCATACTACGTTCGCTGAGTAAGAAGCTTTCATCTATAAAATCATGCCTGTCTTATTTCAGTTTCACATAAAGGATATTTGAATTGTCTTAGTGTAACAAATGTACCTCATGCAAGAAATAAAGAGAAAGTTGGCACCTACTGCTTTTAGATCAAGTAGGATTTTTCTAAGCAACTGGAGAGCTTTTCAACTTTAAGAGTCACGGGAAACAATGTGGAAAGGGAGTGTAATGTGTGCATTGGCACAACTGACATCTACAGCTCAGTGACAATATTTCTCATAGAAGCCACTTCTGCCAGAGAAAAACAAAGTCTGAATGCTGTGGAAGTTCCTTGACCTGTCTATAAAATCTCAATTACTGAGCAAAGAAGGGGGAAAAACCCCAAGAGAAACCAAACCAGTATTAAAAGTTTACTTTGCAATACAAAATCTGTAAAAATGTCTTAGATATGCTACTTTGGGGGTTATATTTATTTAGAATTAGTGATCACAACCCCAAAATTTTGGGTTAGATTTGCATAGTGTCCATCAAAATTAATAAAGAGCAAAGCATCCCTGAGATCAAAATATTGCAGCACCAGAACAATCTCCATGATTGAAAGCAACTATAGGAAAATGAATCTTTATGGTTTACCTATGATCAAGATTAGTCTTTAAGGCTACTTCAAGAAGTCATAGCTTTGCAGGATGGAATTAGCTGGGAAAACAAAGACAGAACCTTTGAAATTAACAGCAGTCTAAACAAGGGAAGGAAATAATAATGCCATCTTTTTCACTCTACAGTGAATCTTCTATTTAAAAATGCTGCTCTACCCTTTTTCCCTTTGGAATTTTTATCTCTCATCCATTAACCTTTATCTTGGGCAATCCTGTGGATAGCCATCAGAAGGATGTTTTCTTCCAGAGTGAGGCTTCAGCGGATGCAGCATCAAAAACTTTGTCTCTTTATGCTTTGCTCATGTTAACATCCATGAAAGTCACACTCCTGACCCACACAGAGGCAAAAATAAGTGACTTTGCTTGTTTGGCTTGTTCCTCCTTCTTCAATTATTGGCAGTTCATGAGCTTTTTGAGGAAGTCATGGAAAACAGAATTCTTATACTTTTAAGAAACAAACAGGAGAACAGACCAACAGTTTCAATGGGCCCACGGAAGGCACTCTTGATGAAGTCTGAGCCTGCTCTATCAGGTGATTTTTTGCAGTTTGCCTTCCAATTAACAAATCTTCAAAAGCACATTCTTTAGCATTTCAAGCCCCTGTCCCTTCTGGGTTGCTGACAACAATGACAACCTATCAGTAAATTTTGATGGTTAACACATAGCTCTTTCTCAAATAAAGGGACTTAATTTCAATTCATGCCTTCAGTTATCATACAAAACAATACTTTGAATATTATGATAAACTATAATGAAAAAAAAGGTGAACCAAGTGCTACAAGATTATTGACCTGCTTTCATGCAACTTCAGGGAGCTGTAGGAGACATTTCTGTAAGTCAACACTTTCCCTAGACAGTTTCTCCAGGTCACTTTTAAATAAGAGAACAGTTAAAAGTAAGATTCTAAACTCGTCCTGTTTACAATATCTCTAGGCAACTTTAGTCTCATATTAGCTTTTGAACTGGTCATAAGAACAGCAATTATAATTTGTTTCATTTTGTTAAGTGGCCCCATTCTCACCACAAGTCTGAATCATATTCCTATTTACTGAAAACGTTTCTTGAGACACTCTGCTATCAGTTCAGTCCCACCTCTTAGTCAAATAGGCTACAGCCAACTATGAGCTCACCTTAAGCAACTTAAGTTCAGCTTCCAGATGTGTAATTCCATAACAAATGACAATAAGTGATATAACAATCTATTTTTGGACAAGATTAACAGCCTCTATTTCACCTTGATATATCAAGCCATAGGCAAACTAAGTGTAGTCAAATTGCCTGTGTGTTTTTTTAAAGAAAACCTGCCTTACAGGTGAGTTCCAAGGCTGTGACAGGCAGCTGTGTGGTCTGAGATGAAATGGGAATGTAAAGCATGTGGGATGGTGCACGGCACAAATTCTGAGTCTGCACTTCTTTCAGGAAGACGAATCTCTCACACCACTTAGAGTGATGCAAAGATGTAAAGTATGAGTTCATACTATATATCCTATTAAATGGAAACAAGTCCACCTGTACTCTTCTCTTGTTCCTATTTTATTTTCAAATAATGCTTTAAAATATATCAATATTTGGACCTTAATGAAGTGATCTTTGGGCAGAGGAGATCATGATTTTCCTTCTAGATTTCTGTGACCTCTAGGTTTGTGAGGACAAGGGCACTACTGACAGCAAATCTCTGGTTAAACACGTGAAAAAAATCACCATCAAAACAAAGTTCTTACCAATTACAGAGAATTAGCTGCAGACTAAATGACTTGCAGAGTGAGATCATTGTTTTGTCAGTGAGGTGCAGTGTCTATCACCATCTCTGGGATTTATGTTAGTGCAAAAGCATGAGCTCCTCACCTCCTATTACCCAAGTATCATCAGGAATGTCAGCAGACATGGAAACGCTGGTAGATGCTTTTCCTCAAGTCTACATCTGTAGCCACACAATCATAACAAAGATGTCAAAACTCTAAGAACAAGCTCAGATTTGCAGCTGAATCACTGCATGTATCTTTGAACCAAATACTTCAAAAATAGCAAAACACCAACACAAGACAGCTACATTTCCTACAACATGACTATGTTACAGATTTGTGGTCAAAGGCCCAAGAACATCTTGAAGTATTTTAAGTCTGTTCTCCCTCTCTCCATGTCTCTGGGAAACCTCACTCCAGAGCAGCATGATTTGGCTGTACTTTTCCAGCAACACTGGCTTAATTCTTCCCCACTTTATGAATTCTTTGAATACTCAGGTCTGCTTTACTACATTTAAATTGCTTGGTTTTACTCAATAGCCACATTTCTCCACCTCCCACCATCCATTTCACACTAATTAGAGAATTCCCAAGCTACCTTGCTTCAAATGCAGCATTTCTATTCTTGTACATTCTGGTAATTTTGGTTTCCCCGGGGAAGTCTTGTGGCAGTTTTTACATGGTGATAGGACAAGGCTGAAGTGCTTTAAATGCAAGAGGAGAGATTTACATCACATGTTAGGACAAAATTCTTTACTGTGAGGTAGGGGAGGGTCTGGCACATGTTGCCCAGAGAGAAATTGTGAACATCCCCTTTGCTGAAACTGTTATTGAATTTGCACTATCATCTATCTCATCTGTGCAGGGGAAGCTCTCTCCCTGTGGTATTTTCTTGTTGAACCACTCCCACACTTTCCACAAACAGAAGCTTGAACTTACATACTTTTCAAGTATGTTTTTCCAAGAATGTTTTCTTACAACAGAGATGCTTAAGAGGATATTTTCATCCAACCACCTTGTGTTTTATAATCCTTGGTTTAAGCATGTTTGTTTACAATGTATTTAAGTTAAAGGAAACTTTGTAAACAAAGGAGAAACTAAATGTAACTTATAGGAAGATATCCTAATTCAGTAACTTCAGATACATCTCTGAGTAACAGGGCAAGATTTCAAAACCAAACAAGTGCCTTCTTTCCTTGTGAGAATGTGAGAGAGCACAAACTGAATTTCAACTCAAAACACCAGCTTTCCCCAAAGACTACTCTAAGGATTTAAAACTATATCCATTTAAATAGTACATGTGTCTCACTAATTTTTTGTTGCTAACTTAAGACACTTAACCACTAATCAAGCTCCAGAGTATGACTCCAAGATTTACTCATTGTCATTGTGCTCAGAAAAAAGTTAGATGGGTTTCTTGGCACCACATGACAGAGCTGTAATGTAATTCCACTGCAGCTTGGAAATGAATAAAATAAAAAATTTTAAAAAAATGTTTAGGATTACATGCAACATGAAATTCCTTTGGGACACATTGCCTGAAAGTCTACCCAGTGCCCTTAACTGACTCATAGCTAAGGGTCAGGAAAACAAACCTACCCTAATTTATGGTGCAATCATTAAAAAAAACCCTAACCAAAAAAAACTCCCCAAAAAAATAAAATAAAATAAAATAAAAAACACAAAAAACCAAACCACTAACAAGCAAAAAACCAGCAGTTTCAGCAGAGGTAAAGAAGGCAGAATGAGCCAGAACATAGATATCAAAGAGCTCTTAAAGAGAGGATTCTGTTCCTTCATTGGCTGCAAGTCCCCTTCTCTGAAGATATTAAAACCAAGGTAAGGTGGTAAATTGTATCAAAGATCAAATAGAAACAGACCTTTGCTGATAGGCATTTTAATCAAAGTGCTGAATAACTAAGAAATAGTGAACAAAAGCAGAAACTAAAATGAACAGGAGGCTTTGGTAATTTGGGGACTGGGGAAGAAATAAAACAATCCAGCAAGGCCAAATCAGAAGGCATTAAACCCAAGTACAACCAGAAACAAATGAGTTCCATACAATTAACTTTCCTACTTCACATACTGAATTATGTATTTTAACTTAATGTAGCCCATATCTTATTTTTGGATGTAGGCTCCATATTTCCTGGGGTCTGCTGATAAATTTATCAGACAGGTGGAAGAACAATCTATGTGGTAGCTTTGCAATTAAGCAAGTGGACCTTTCAACTTACCTTTTTTATCAAATGGACAAGATAATATAAAAAATTTCATTTCTGTCAAACTCATTGTCTTTGAATTCTGGACATACTTTATCATCATGACAGATTCTAATGGTGATCCAGCTACCAGGATCTTTGATTTCCTGAGTCAATGTGCTGAGGTAATTGTCTTTATCAAGACTTCCCCAGTCATGGGGAAATGGCATCCATTTAAATTGAGAGATTCACATAACCCTGTTCCTGAGGAGCAACCCAGCCAAGTTATCAGAAGGCAAAGACTCTTGCAATACCCTTAAAATATATTTAACAAGGATGTGAAAATTGCATTTCTGAACTTGCCAACTACATAAAACTATAGATGACTATAGATAAAGATGCTTCAAGAAGAACAAACTTAATCACCAATGGGTTTGCATGATAATGACAGTGGGCAGTGAATGTAGAGGCCACACTAAGTCACTGGAGTGCTTTCAGTCCACATATTCCATTTATTCCACTCTAAACAATGGGCATATTCTCCCTTTACTGACAAAAACTTCAAGGAAAGTGAAGTGCTTTCATCTCAATCAAAAGAAAAACAGGATATGCCCCTATATACAAACACATAGGACAAAACAAGGACTCAGTAAATTAACAGAGCTTGTTGTGGAACAGTCAAGAAGCAAAGCCAACAATTTCCAAGGTTATCTCTGTCATGAAGACATCCTCATTTCTTTGAAACCAGCATGCATTCCAATTGCCAGTAAAATCAAGCACAATTATTGGCAAGCCTGTTCAATGGCAGGCTTTGAAGGCAAGACCAACAGCAGAGAAGATATGAAACTAAGATTCTATTGCTTACATTCTAGTCTTTTGTAAGACTGATCTTTAAACAAGCAAAAAAAATCTCCATTATTTTTTCTGTTCACTTCTCTGGTATTTAACAATATTTGCAGATTTGTTTGGCAGTTCTGTGAGGTTCTTCCCTCCAGCCCCAAGGAACACAGCTATTTCAAGAGCAATGCACCAATTCTTTTAGACCCAAGAAATTCTTGTCACCTCATAGCATAAGCATTAATGGTGCCCTTAGAACTTGCTTGTAATCCCAGGTTTGCCCAGCCCTGCTAAATTAACTTGGGTCAGCAGATGTGTGAGGTTGGGCTAGAACAGATTTTCAGGTCACTTCTCTGAAGCCCTGTTGAGCAGCCCTGGGTCCTTTCACATGCCCCAGGCTGAACTTTCCCTGTTGGTGGTGCCAAGGAGTTTGAAGATTTTATCTGGGAGAAACGGCCTGACTTCTGCCATGGGAACATCCACTGAAAAGTTCAGCAATGGAGAGTCATTACTGTTATGCAATGAATACATTTTGCATTTTTCCCACCCTGGAATAACATTCTATAATAAATAATTTGCAAACTTGTCTGATCTTGATGTGAATCAACAAACCTAAATTCAAATATTAAGGCATTAAGGGGGAAAAAAAAGCAGTAAGGAAAATTCACACTAGGGTAGCACATCAACATTCTTTCTCATGACTGACCTCTGAAGCATTTCAAGTTTTGTTTTTCAGCTAATCCTCCTGCAGAAAGCCAGATTTAAGCCTGTGAAGACGTGTCCACACTGCTCAACTCTCCGACTTATACAAAAATCTATTTAGAGACTTCAAATATGCATAGGGGAGCAGAGATACCAAAGCAGTATCATTTGGAACTGTTCAAATACAAGAAAATCATTTGCATATTGAGAGGTTACTGGATAGACCCTTTGCAGTTTCTAAAAATGCATCCTTTGGATATTATTAAGAAATCCTACATTTGCTTGCTAAGAAGAAGAAATGAAATCTGTAGAATCAGGGTTTAATAAGAGTTGCACCTATTTAATACTACTATTTCAGAGAACAGCCTTAAAAGCTCTGAAACAGCCAAGAGATACCACTGAGCTGTTTAACCTTTGTGCTTGAACAGCCCTTTGAAAAACACACATCTGATTGAACCAGAAGACCCTAAGTAAAAATCCCATAATATTAATATTCTAGTCCTGAACATGTTACTTCTTAGTGAAATCTTCCATTCTTGATCACAGTCCAAGGAAATCATTTATGTAGAGTTTGAGAAAAATACCTTCTTCCCCATGATTAAAAATAGTTGAACTTAGTTTCCATTGGGTGTGTTTTAGAAAATACCTTGTTCTTATTTAGCTCTCCAGTAAAGCTTGCACAACAGCTAGGGAACAAAACAAAACTATATCTCCTTTCTGTTAAATAAGAAACAGCACTGAATTGTAGCCCACTGTGGTTCACAATGCATATTTGCATCAATTTGATGAAGAATGGAAATTACAGTGTAAGAGTAGATAACAGTAACCCCTAAAAGGGCTTAGAAAATCTTCATGCTGCACCAGTAGTGATATGGATTCAACTCCATAAAAACTCAAACATAAAAAACTAATTTATTTTCATGCTAAATTATTAGAGTTCTTAAAATATGAGAGTTCTGTTGTTCTGTTTTGTTGTAGCTAACTGCTTCAGTTACTATCTTAACTCCCCAGGCAAGGAAAATTGGGAAGGATTTTTGAGTGTGGCCAAATTTCTAATCTAAATTGATGCCAGAATGCCAATTTGTTACAAGGTCTGTCTCAATCTCAAAAACTGAAATATTTCCTACTGAGAATTCAAAAATGGCACAGCCACACTCACTTCTATTTCCAAAAAGATTGATAGGTTGATTTGTTTTCATCAAGTAAAGAGTAATAATAAAATAACTGGAGTTACTTCTCTCTCCCTTCCCAAAATAAAAGTCCTCTCCACACTTCTCTGGTCTAAATTCTGTGCACTGCATCACAAATGTACCTCAAAAATGGCCTTGGGCTACAAATCACAACTTGTTCAGAATACCCTCCATTCCAACTCATTGCTACTTTTACTTTGGTGCAGAGGGAAGTAGCTCTGATCTCCAAAACTACTTTTCATGTATACCTATATCTTTGAATTCTGGACATACTTTATCATCGTGACAGATTCTAATGGTGATCCAGCTACCAGGATCTTTGATTTCCTGAGTCAATGTGCTGAGGTAATTGTCTTTATCAAGACTTCCCCAGTCATATATATATACCTATATGAAAAGTACCTATATATATATATGAAAAATACCTATAAATACTAACATTGATTGTTGTTACATTTTGATTACAGTGCAACCAAACAAAAAAGATATTGGAATTAACTTCCTGTGTTGCAAGAGGGGACGAGAAAAAAAAAAACAGGAAAGAATCCTGACCACAAAAACCATGAGAGATCGTCTGCAAGAGCTCAGACTGAGGGCTAAGGAGCTACAGATGGGCAGGGAAAACAATGGTGCAACTGTACAAGAAGAGGAGCAGGAGGAGTTTGAACAGCAGGCTATTATTTATGAAAAAGAGCCCATAACTGAAAGGCACCTGCATGAAATCCAGAAACTTCAGAACGAAATTAATAATCTGGTGGAAGAAGTCAATAAATTCAGCCAACAACAAAAAAGCCTCGTGTCTTCAATGAGAAGATTCAGCGTTCTCAAAAAGGAATCTAACATAGCCAGGGAAATCAAAATCCAAGCAGAACAGGTACGCAAAGGTTTGGATGAGCTGGCAAAAGCAGTGAGGAAAGCTGAGAATGAGCACGGGCCAGCGCGAGCCACGGTGAGGATCCTGGCTGCCCAGCACGCCTTCCTGTCCCACCGCTACCTGCAGGCCATGCTCGCCTACAACCAGGCCATCACCGCCAAGCAGGACAAGTGCAGGACCTTCATCCTCCGCCAGCTTGAGGTAGCTGGCAAAGAGGTGTCTGAGGAGGAGGTCAATGACATGCTCCAGCAAGGAAAATGGGAGATTTTCAATGAAAATCTACTCACTGAAGTCAAGATTACTAAAGCTCAGCTGTCAGAGATTGAGCAGAGACACAAAGAACTGGTCAATCTGGAGAACCAGATCAAAGACGTGAAAGAACTGTTTATCCAGATCTCGCTTCTGGTGGAGGAGCAAGGGCAGATGATCAACAACATAGAAATCTACATGAACAACGCTCAAGAATATACTCAAGTATCAAAAGAAAAGTTTGGGCTTGCAGTCAGGTATAAAAAAAGAAATCCTTGCAAAGCAATTTGCTGCTGGTGCTGTCCGTGCTGCAGATGACACCAGAAATGAACTGCCTGAAATACCAATGGTTCCTCCACACCAAACTGATCTTGAAAAGCACTCCTGGAATCCCTCAACTGCTTCACTTTTCTCCCCGTTTTCCCTTCAGCAGAGCTCTCAGGAAAAACTGCATCTGTTTTTCAAGCCAGAGTAAAGGATTTTATGGTTTTTACAGAAACACGTGAACTACAGGAAATGATCAAAGGATAAAAGTGACTTTTTCTTTTGGTTCTTATAAACTTCTTCAAAGTTTAGAAGTTCTAAAGTTTAGTTTGGTTCTTCAAACTAAGTCAGCGTAGCAAGAAAGTCCCTGTGCTGTTGGGAAGCATTGAAAATACTGTTAATCACAGACAGGATTCATAAAAGTGTTTTATTTACTTTTCGCAAAATGATAATAAGTATTTTTAATTGCCTTGTGGTATTTTTTAGCATTTATATTTACTTGCTCAAATTCCAATTTTTTTTTTTTCCCCGGGAATGTGAAATTCTACAAAACAAATCCACACAATGCAGACACCATTAGTAACAATCCAGAATGGGATGCCTAAACCAGACAAGAGGTCAGAAAACTTATCAGGAATGTCTCAATACTACCTCTACAGGAAAAGTTCATGAACTTTTCATAAATTGACACAGAGATACTTTGATTATTCAGCTCTACAGGCAGAGCCCTAGCAGGATAGGGGAATATGATCCCTAATTACACACTCACAAGGCACATTCTTAATCCTGCCTATCCTACCTGAATACAGTCACATTTGCAGTCTCACTTTTGCTAGCACAAAAATTAATGAAAAAATAGAATAAAAAAGAGAACTCCATCCTTACACCCCCTACTCCTCCCCCATAATCTAGAACCAGAGAATGATTTAGGTTGGAAGGAATCTCCTGTAACCAACTCCTTTTGGAACTGAGTGAGAAACAGCTCTCCATGCAATTTAACAGACAACAGCAATGTAACTGAGCCAAAAAAGTTATGTCCAAAAAGAAATTAAAAAAAAAAAATTGCACACTAAAACCAAACAGAAACCAGAAATGTATTCCTGAACTGTGTTGTGCTGTGCAAAGACACTTTATTTGGATAGTCAAGAGAAGTCAGAACAAACTGCACTGCTACTCAGCAAGACACTAAGTGAACTGGATGGCTTTAGTTGCACGTAGTGGGGAAAAAAAACAATCTACTATCAAAGACATTTTCACATTGTGGTATTTAGAAAGAGTTGGTTTCCTTCCATCCCAGATTAAAATTGCAACAGAAATTAACTAAATTATCAAAATACAATCAAAGGCCTGAACCTTAAAGTAAAAAATCCTATTTACACAGTAGCAACAAAAAATAAACTTAGATGATCACATCACTGAAACTATTTCATTAAATAACCTCACCTTAACTGCATATATTAGAAACACCTTTATGTTCCAAGGACACAGTAGAAATTAGCCAACACACTAGAGCTGTACTTCCAATAGTGGAATAAAACTCAAGTTTTCAAAATTCAAGTTTTAATACTTAGGAAAACAGCTGCCCAACTAAGTCATTTCCAGATGTAAATTGGTTAGAAACAGGTGAAACAGATAAAACACACTGAAGGAGAACTGGGAAGCGAGAAAGATTTGTGGACAACTTTTCCTTGATTAGGGAGTAATATTAACTGAAAATAAATAGTATGAAATAATACTATCAACTACAGTTTACACAGAATTTGATATTGAGCATTCAAAATTATTAGCAGCAGAAATTTGCAGTAATCACTAAAGTAACTTTCCAGTGTTTTCAGTAGTTACATAAATATGCAGAAAAACAAACAAATGAAAGCCTAGCTACAAGTGTCCTATGAAGAGAAGTGAAACATTAATAGCTATAATCCCTTATCACCAAAATAACAGGTAGGAAATAGCTTTCTCCTAACAAAACACCTTCCCAAAAATCTCCTTGGTATAAAATATCAGTCACGGCACATGGATTTGCATTTCCTCTTGCACATGCTCCATGTCAACTTAAAAAAAAAAAAACCAAAAACAAACAAACAAGAAAACCCAACCAAACAAAAAAAACAAAAACAAAGACTCCAAACAAACACAACTAATCCCAAACAAAACCAGCATTTGCCTGAATAATATGTCTGTGTATGCCATTCTGATAAAAGAAAGGACAAAAATAATCCTTAGTGAAGAAAATTTAAGCTTGTATATAAGTCTTGAGAATGCTGCCAGAAGAATTTATCCATAAGCATAAATTAGGTGATAACACTGAACAGTAAAAAACCCAAATGACACATTTAACATCTGTAATTTATACCAAGAAACAGTAAAAGACAATACTATCAACACTTGAGGAAAATGGTCTTAAAATAATTCTGTGACACCTCCATGGGAAGCAATAAATAACAACATGGGAGAGCAGCAATTAAATTTATCAAAAAATATCATACTGAACATCAGATTTCCCATATTCCCGTATTTCTGTGAGATAGAGTATTTAGCACCAAGTTTATGTCCTCATTGTGCAATTCGGCCTATTATCCATGAATTAAAATGCACTAATTAAAACATGTACCAAGGTATTAGGGAACTTATTGCTACATGGGTAGCAAGTATCTCATTATTAAAAAACAACAAAACCAAAAAATCTACAAACAAAATCTGAACGTTAAAATTAATATTAAAAAGGCTAAATTTCATAAATTTGGAAATCTGACAATACAGGAAGGAATTCTTAACTCAAGAGTCAGGTTCACATAGGAGCATAAACCAAAGAACTATCCCTCCACAGAACTGGGATGATGCAAAAGCAAATTCTGATCAAAGGCCTGAAGTTTAATCTAATAAAAAGTATTAAAATCAAAAAACTTGGTTTAGTCCCCATTAGAGCAATTAAAAAAATACACACACATTCTGCCTTCTGATTAGCTACTGATAGGGATTAGAAAGCAGTATCAAGATCCAGGGAAGTGAGTGAGTTCTCTGCAGTTCCAGTCAGCTACTCAAACAAACTCCATTACAGGATTAGAGCATAGAGATTTCTGCCCCACAAAAAAAAAAAAAAAAAAAAAAAAAAAAAAANAAAAACAAAAAAAAAAAACACCAAGAAAACCAAAAAAAAAAAAAAAAAAAAATAGAAAGTTGTAAAAAAAAAAAAAAAAAAAAACAGTTTTCCACACTCACAGCTGCATTTTCAAAACACATTTGAGTTAAACTAAGCGGGCTTTATTGCCTTGCCTGTGCCAGTAACATGCAGAGCAATGAAAGGTAAAATCTAATCTATTTTCAACATATACACCATTAGTTTGCTGAACTACCCTCCACTTCATCAACACAATTAGCCAGGCTCAGCTTCAGCAGAGCATCACTGCTTCTTAAAAATAAGAGGTCTCTTACTTGTACAGATTCTTTATGATAGCACAGGGATGATGTGCAATTTAAGCATTATGGAGGTCCTTTGCTCACCAGACATAAAGATATTGACTTCATAAACCATTTTAAACTTTCAGAGTTTATTTTTTAACTTCAAAAGCGTATTTGTTATCAAATATTTTTTATGTGGATTTTAAGAAAGTATGTTCTTTCCAATATTTTTAGAAACCCTATTAAACAGAGAAAAAGCAGGTGCCCAATACAATTAAAGCAAGCCTCCTTTAATGAGATTTTGTTGATCATAAATCAGCAGCACCATGTGTTAAGTGAACAAGACATTGGTGAGAGATCACCCTATTGCTGAGTATGATCAACCATTTACCATTTAATTAATTGATGTGGGCATAAGCAGAAACAATATTTTTGCATCATGTTGCCATGCCAAATTTGTAAAGCCTTTTAACCTAGCATTTCAAATAACATTAAAATTTTAAAGCATAAAAAAAAAAAATCACACCTTGTTATTTTTCCATGGCTAATGAAAGAGGAGAGAAATAAATATCCCTGAGCAGGATAAAATAAAACATAAAACCAATTGCAATATTGGTTAGTGCTATAGTTACAGTAGTATTAGCTACAGAAATTGTTCTTTAGGTCTAAATTCACCCAATTTCAGATTATTAGGAGAACATTTATTATGCTACTTACACTAACACAGGTTTTCCTGATATTTTAGGGCTTTTTAACACTTCTATCATGGTTTGTTTTGTTTCTTCCATTCTTTCAATGTCACTGGAATCCACCACAAATATGACACCGTAGGACTCAGCATAATAATTTCTCCAGATATTCCGGATTCGTTTTCCACCTCCTAAATCAAAGATGGTGACTTCAAAGCGTCCCTGTTTAAGATGAATTTTGGAAAACCCAACTGTGGGAGCCACATCTTCAGGAGACTCTGTCAAAGAAGAAAGCCTTGATTTTAAAGATGACTTTTTTTAGTGGGATTTGTGTAGCAAAATTCTCATTTTAAAAACACGGAGTGAGACCTCCTTGTTAAAAATTGCTGACCACATTTTTGCTTACATTAAGATTTCCCCTCTCCTCAGGGAATTTTAAATTAACTAGTCTCTCAACTAGTTACTTTATATTAATTTAGATGGAAGCACTGGGGGAGTGGGAAGGGGGGAGAAAAGAGAGGGGCCCAAAAGGCAGATTTTAATATTTCACACCACAGTTCCATTGCAGTGGTTACTGTGCTGCATTTTCACTTCCACTAATTTCCATGGAAGTAACTCAACTTTGAAAAGGAAAACAATCAAAACAGTTAATGCACTATGACCTGGGAATCCTTGTGCTTTGCCAATTTATTTTTTTATCCTTCATGGTTCCCAAAAGAGCCTCAGAAGTTCAAACCAAGGGCTGAGACAAAATGACTGAAACCATGTTCTTCTGAGATGTCAACTATTTGATTCCATTTATTCAAGGGCAGATTTTAGCTTTTGGGTTTTTTTTGCTTCTTTGTATTTGCTGTTTTTTTCTAATTTTCCATGCAATATGCAAAAAATTATAGATTTCTATTTAATACTTTTGCTTTCTGTCTCCCTTTCCTGAGGGCAAAGAAAGCCTGGACTCCTCTCACACTGCAGCCTGCAGGGCTGAGATAATTGGATCTGTTTTATGCAGCTGGGGAGCACAAGGCAGGAGAAACATGGAAAATTCAGATTGTTGAGAAGAAAAAAAATGAAGGCCTGGCTAAAAGCACTGAGATCTGAAGAGCAGTGCAGAAACTGAATCCCCACCACCTTCTGCTCCTACCTTTAAGATAGCCAAGATGGGCATTCAGGACATTTAAGCCCTGGGGAACACTCAAGGAAACCAGAACTATCTTTTCCTTGACTTTTCCTTTAGAAATACACATCTTTATCTCATTTTTTTTCCCTGAAAAATAGGACTTTTAGAAATAACTGTTACATTCACATAGTAAAGATATTAAAGGTGGGGTTTTCACATAGAATGGAAGGCTAAATTATGAAATACTGCTGTTTTTAGGGCAAAGATTGACGAATAGGAGAGAATGCTCATGATTTTATTTATGCTTTAGCAAGTCTGTGAACTTACATAATGCAAGTAAACAAACTTGAGGTGGAGTCTCCAAGTCTGCCAAAACACTACTCTACACTACAAGCAAACCCTTATTCTTGCACAAGATGAAAGTTATTTAGGAAGACAATCCCTCAAGTGGGGGAAATAAAACCCAGAATTTTTGTTTTTGAAAGTTTTTTCTCAAATTATATCCTGCTTGCATGTGCCAGGGTGAAATACCCTTCAAAACCAAGTGGTCTCTTAGTGGCAATTTTATTTATCATAATTTTCTGATAATAATTAATGATAAAAAATATGCAACACTAGAACCATCCTTAATATTATACATACCAATTTCCTTCTTTTAGACCTTATATATACTTACTTACAGCACTGATTTTTATATAAATTTTACTGCTGTATGCACATTACTGGAATGGTCACCTGAAAGCAACTTCAGCACATGCACACAGGGAAAAAAGAGAAAAAAATCCAGTCCATTGATTGTATGTTTTGTAATGTTTTTATTGTAACGTTTTTATTAAGATGTGATATATGTGATATTTGGATGGTACAACCACCAATGTTTTCTTTCAA